GATGATTATTGCAAAGGGATTTAGGGGTTAACGAGCCGGAGGAAGCAACCCGCGGCGCCTACTCGTGCAGGTGGAGGAACCACATGCGCGCGCCATCCAATCCAAACTGCTCGTCGCCAACATCCAAGGTGAGGTACTGCCATGTCTATTATCACCCTCTACTATTTCTATTGCTGGTGTCTGAAATCGATGATCAAGCGATGGCTAGTACAGTAGTTTTTTTTTTCTGAAAGCTTATCACTACTAGTCAGTACTACTCAGTAGCACCTCTTCGACCATGAGATTTTTCTGAATTTTTTGTAGCATTTTCTGATAAGAATGCGTGCCTCAATATTCATAAGTAGTAATGTTGAATAGATTTGCATGATTGTGTTTTCGGAGATAGAGAAGAGGGTGAGGGGCTGACGGCAATGATCACTTGATCGGACGTGCCGGTGCCGGTGCTTTTGCAAAGGATGTGGAGCTGTTCTTCAAGAGCAGGCCTAGCTGATAAACTATGTTGAGGTGAAATGTAGATGTTACCAAGCCGTTGTTGATTGATCTGATAGGTGCAAGCAGGCCTCAAATTCGACTTCTGATGAGTACTGACGACTGGCAACCGAATCACTAGGACCAACACCTTTGCCATGTTTGAGTGCTGTTAGGCCTCAATGATGGACAACTGGATTTTGATGGAGGTTGGAAATGTGGACGCTAGGTGCTGAAGCAAGGCTGGTTAGATCACCAGCTACATTTTTGTTTTCTACTAACGCATAAACTATATCCCCAGCATATGTGTTAGTTTAAATTGTGTTAGAGCTTTTGTAGGATAGCGAGCATGTTATCCCTGAATTTTTGTTAAACCATGTAATCCCTTAATTTGTTTTTTGATTTATTTATTTTCCTGTTGTCGTTGACCTGTACACAGAATTTTAGGAAAAAATTCCTCATTGTCAAGACATAGAAACTGAAAAATAGTAATAGTGAGATAAATATTTGTTACACTCATTGGTGTCACTCTGCGACTTTGGGGGGTATTGTGCTGGGTTACGTTCAGTTGACAAATAGAGTTTACTCGTAAGGTCGATTCGCTGTTTGCCTACCCACTAGAAAAAAGTAGTGGCGCAACTATTTTGCCGCTTGACCTATTACTTAGAAGTTTTAGTCTCCTTAGTGCCTTATGTTGACTACCTGATCAACTATTACCATCAATGATTTCCTCTCACCTTTTTAAAATTTAGTTAATTAATGACCTGGCAAGAAATATGCAACCTCTTATGTGTCATATATGCAAAATATTTTGGTACATGGGATACTAATATTCAAAACACTGAAAGCTGCCAAGATGCCACTGCACATAATATTCCTGTATTTTCTGATTGTGACATTTCATCATTATCCAATTACCTTTTCGGTCAGTGCGAGATTGGAGAAACTTCATGGTCTCAAAAACAGTTGTACTTTCAAATGACAACTGACAATGTCTTTCTGCACACAGGGCATCTGTAAAGTAGTAATGCTAGAGATAAGTGTGCGAAGACTTATTCATGTTTGGTTGATGTCCCATCCACAGTCGGTTAGCAGAGTTTGCTCTGCTAGTGTTGACATAAGTAAAAAGAATCTGTCTTCCTTCTGAAACCGAACTGGCACTAGCTTCTATCCCTTTCTTGTATCACATTACCTCCTTCCTTCTTCAATACAAATCATTTTATCCCTAAAATTTGATCATGCAAGGATGAAATTAGAACTTATTTTCAAGGACAGGAACTGACCATAACTTGGTAGGTGCCATGTTTGAGCTACATGCACTGGGCTGCCCTTTCAATGTTGGGAAAATTGAAATATATCGACGTCGATGTATTATTGATCAAAATTCTCTGACTAAAAGTAAGTTCACTGTGAGCAGGAAGAGAGATTATCAAGTTAAAAACAGATAGAGAAACGAAAGTCTGACACATCCACAACTCCAATAATGACTTGAATTTTGTAGTCTCTAATTATTACTCCCTCCGTTTGGAAATAATTGATGTGTTAGAACGGAGGTAATAGTATTTACTTAAATTTCTTCCAAAAAAATCATATATTTTCAGCTAAAGAAAGACGAAGTTGGCTTACCCAGGTGTTGTAGGTTTATGATTTGAAACAGTCACACCCAACAAATTTATACTCCAATACACATCCATGAATATTTTACGTAAACTAATGCAACAAGAATGCAAACTATTTGGAAGATGGACTAATTTAGAAGCTTTGATATGTTATTAGTCTAGTAGCAAAACATGCACAGATCTGGCATATCTCTGGCTATTACAGGATAGGTGGCTCAAAAGACATTATCTATGATTGGGTAGTACTCATCCATGAGATAATGTCTTTTGACCATGTTATTAGAGGCAATACTCACCTATCCTGTTATTAGAGGCAATACTCATCCATGAGAGAGATGTATTATAATCTTTGACCATGTTATTAGAGGCAATACTCATCCATGAGAGAGATGTATTATAACTTTGTTCGTGAAGTGAGATTTCAAGGTGATGGCCATCCCATGAAAACCAGATCTAATAGATTGACATACCAACCTACTTATCAAATTTTGCTAATATATTTTAGAGTTGCCTATGAACTTCACATGGTAATCACTTTGCATTTTGTTCATAAGTTATTGTTAATGTAGGCTACCTCAAGTATATATTCCAAGATCCCTTTGCACCAAAAGGAGAAAAGAAGCAGAAACACTTAAGTATATATTCCAATACCTATTCTGCAGCAGAGCATCACTGCTTTGCCAAATTATGATATGCATTAATTATAACTGAATGTGCCAATCTAAAAGCTAGAAGTCCTCAAACACGTTAAGTTTGGAAAAGCATCTCAAATATCTAATCGGAATGAACAAAACGATCGCCAGCTAAGTTAGACCTATGTGCTAGAACATGCATCTGAAGACATATCTGAACCTGTGGATTGTTTCAGGACATCAGTGCATCCGTTGAATGGCATAAATACTCTGTTTATTAAGATGCTATGTTATGGAGAATTCAATAGCTTCGTATTGGTAAATGCGTTAAGCAGAAAAAATGAAACCCATTCTCTTGATTGTCAAGACAACTCTGATCAGTGTCCTCTCCTGGTTCAAGAGGTGAGCATGATGGGGACCCCCTCTCCTCCTCCTTCGGTCCAGTGCAAATTGTGCGGCAATGAGGCCCATAAGATCTTTGACAGTGGCATATATCTTGTACATCAAACTGTCTTTGGAATATGGCAGGGAAAGCATCTTCTTGTTTATCTAATTTCAGCACCACAGTACTATTGGGGATCTTAATGTACGAAGATAAGAGCTACTTGGTGAAGCTTGTTGATTCGGAGATAAAGCCCGGCAAGTTGATGTAGAGGGACCATAGTCCCCTTCTGGCAAGCAGCATATCGTTGTCCGATTACAGTACGTATTCTACACCATTCCTTTCCTGCTCCATTTCTGTTTACTACTGCTGCTCTCTGCTTGTTATGTTGGTCTAAACCCGCGATAGCTATCCAAAGTAAGTAGAAGCAGGATATCAAGAGTGTGTTTTGTCTCTCTTTCTGTTCTGTTGCTGTACTGAAGTCCATATCTTGTTCGGTATAACAGTTTGTTGCTTCACAAGTGCGGTCAAATTAATCTTTGTCACGGGTGGTACCACTTAGGCAAAACCTTTCCTCTCTTTTTCGGAAAGTTAGGGTCTTGTTTGCGTCAGAGTCTAAGCTCATACTAACTATGCTGGGCTCAAGGCTAATTAAAAGCATTCATCTCTCGCTGTCTGTAAGACCATCTGAATACTAACTGCCGTATAAACAAAGTAGCCGTGAACATACTGGCAGTTGGCAGATGGTACGTCCATGCAAGCAAAAAAATATCTTTGAGTAAGGCGTGGCTCCGTACCTTATTGAGCCGATTTTATAGAGAAAGGTTCTGGCATCAACTTGCTTGTGTTTGATAATCGTCCTGCACTTAGTTGGAGCATATTCCCTAGCTGTTCATTCTTCGAGCAATTTCTTTTGGTTTTCAAGTAAGAGCATATTGCAACGAGTAGCACCTTTCATTCATATATTGATAGTAAATAGAGGCCAGACAGCCTTTTTAGGGACTATTGCCTATGGCACACAATTCAGCAGTACGACAAGTCCTTGATGCTCTTCAGTCTGGACGATCTTGTAATGGTAGTCGGCTTACATGGTAGAATGGGCATAATTGGCACTCTCTCTTCACGGAATATGGCTTTTAAAGGTTTTTACCATCAAATTTCCACAGTAAAATATTTGTTCGAAAATATACTTTCGTGCGATCAGTCTGAATAGTTTGTGCACATTAAGGAAGCTCGACCATCAAAATTGTGCAATCTCATGTAGGATGTTCTTTGTTGGTCCGGTGAAAAATCAACCCGTCGCCTTTTCCCTCTTCGAAAAGGAGGGTTTTCCGGCCACCGCATAGTTGATGCATGTTTTTGGAGAAAACGGGGTTTTCCCCTGATTTCCATTACTAGACCCCAGATAGAAATTCTTACAAACCACCAGCATACAGTTGGTGCATGTATTCACATCACTCACAGTCACCTTCCCAACCTTCCACTCTTCCAGTGGCAGGGGGATGTGACGGATCCCTCTTCACGTACACCATCTATCCATCTAAGCCTGATGATTCGACTGCTCAGGCGACTTGCCAAACATTAGCGATAAACGGTTATCATGGGGCATGGCCTGGATTGGTCTTTTTTACTGCGCGTGACCCTACCCAACCCAACCCTGCATCGTTCTTTTCGGTGCACAACAGCACCGCCGCTCGGGCGTGCACTAGTAGCTGTAGGCTGTAGTGTACGCGCCAAGCCCCGACCCTTCTTATACCCACGCCCCTCCACTTCAACCTCCCAGCAAACACGCACACGCACACACGCACACAGTCCCCGCACGAGCTAAAGGCACCCACAGGGCTTTTGATTTCCACGTCCGGAGGAAGAAAGTCCGTCCGTCCGCCCGTCCGGCCGGAAATGTTCCGTCATTCCTCGTCGGCGCCTTCGTACGGCGACGCCTACATGCAGGCGGCCCTGGCCGCCGTCCCCACCCAGATCCCTCGCTCTGCCGCCGGGGGATACTATGACAGCGGCAATGTTGTCAATGGCGCGTTCCATCCCTTCGCCGCCACCGCCGCCTCGTCTCCGCCGTCGTCCTACTCCTCGTCGTACTACAACAACATCCATAGGAGCATCAGCGCGCACTCGCTCCCGCTCCCGCTCCACATCCAGCTCGGCGACAACCTCGGCGGCGGCGGCGCATTCTTCTCGTCCTCGTCCCCGTCCCCTCACCAGCAGCTGTCTTTGCCTCCCATGTCCTCCTCCCCGTCCTCCTCCTGCGGCGATCTGTACGATTTCAGCAGCTCCGCATGCACAGTCCGCCGCGTCTTCAGCACCGGCGATCTCCAGGTACCGCGCCACAGCCCTGGAACTTACACAATTGTGATCGATCGGGCTGTCTGGAGATTGCAATTGAGCTGTCGACTGTTGTTTTCCTTGCCTTTTGCTGACAAAACTAATGAAGCAGGGGATGAACGGGTCATCGCCGGTGCCGTCGGGCGACGGCTGCGGCCAAGACGCCGGAGGAGGGCCGTTCTCGCAGAAGGTCGGGCGATACAGCGCAGAAGAGAGGAAGGAGCGGGTGCAGCGATATCGCCTGAAACGGCACCAGCGAAACTTCACCAAAAAAATCACCGTACGTACCATCCCGATCTCCATCAACACCCTGCAAATGCACGCCGTCTCTTGCCACTAACGTCTTGCCATCATTGGCTCTGGTTCCGGCAGTACGCGTGCAGGAAGTCGCTGGCCGACAGCCGGCCGAGGGTGAAGGGCCGGTTCGCGAGGAACGGCGAGGCGGAGGCGGAGACCGACGACCGGGAGGCGTCCGACAACAGCTACGACTACTGCGGTTACAGCGATCCCAGCAACCAGAGCACGGGGAACAGCCGCTACCACGGCCAGCAGCATGTCAAGGACGACAGCGTCTGCAACGGCGCCGCCGCAGCAGCGTTCGCCGGAGCCGGTGACAATGGCGACTGGTGGTGGCGGGCGCCGGGGGCAGAGGGGCAGCGGCAGGCCGGCTTCGACGTCGACGAGGAGCTCTGGGCCACCCTGGGCGACATGCTGTCCGTGAACCTGGCCTCGTAGTAGGCGATCGACGGCACGGCATGTAAGGGTCGGTGGAGCCGTTAGTGGTTTTTGGTGGGGGCCGTCCGGCGCACCAGACGGCACTATTATAGCTCGGTCAGGTCAGGGTGGCGGCTCGGCTGGCCGCCGTGTGCGCGGCACAGTGCAGCCATGGAGGGGCGAGGTCAGAGTGGCGCCCGTTGACCTTGTCCCCCGGGGCTGTATTATTGTAACCTTTAGCCAGAAACATCATGAGAGTCGGAGACAAAAGGAGAGAGAGACCGATCGCCTTCCTCGTGCTAGACTTTGAGAACAACCTGTGTGTGTTCCGTGAGTTCCCGGTTACTTCCATGTACAAAAAAGCTTGAAAAATTATCTGCCCCACTCCCGAGTCCAAGTGCATGCCCCTCTGTCGTCCAAAGCACCCCTGAATCCTCACCTCTTCCTCAGTGCTGCCTGCCGGCTCCCCTGCGACCTTCCGTGCTCGTTTTGTTTCGCCCGTTTTCCTTCTCCTCTGAGACTACACTCAACCGTTGTCGACCTCCCAGTGGCACGGGGCACCTGTTTTTAACAAAGTCCACGCGCTACATGGGCCATGGCCAGCCAGTGACGTGACAGGACAAGACACGGCACGACGCTTATGCATGCAGTTCGCGCGCATTTCAGCTCTGCCCAGCCCGGCCGCGTACGTGGTTGGGTGGGGTTGGGCTGGCTGGCTGTTCCGTCGCCGTCGTCGTCGTCGTCGCGGGGAGATAGATCGGTCGACCGCAACGGCGATGGGAGGTCAAAGGGGTACGTGCGTGCGGACGGATCGCCGTCTCATCGCCGGAGGCGAGGCGCCCGTGACTGACGCGCAACCATCTCCATCTCCTCCGTGGCGACATCTACCTCAGCTTTTTCACGAGGGGTTAATGGCCGCTTCTCGGGCCTTCTCATTGGCCCTGCCGCACGCATGTGATCAGTCCCCGAGTTGGTTAGCTGTTCGCTCGCAGCGAGCCGGGTCAGCTCAGCTCGTGCGCGCAGCACATGAATTTCACCGGGATCATTGCATCTCTGAGACTCTGACTCTCACAACAGCAAAAATCATCTGTGTTGATGATGTTTTTCCAGGCGGAAGTTGTGATGTTCTTCGCTTCGGTTCTTCAGAAACATCCCTTGCTTGCAATTTTAGCATGCAAAAAAGTGGGACTACCGTACCGGATTCCGGCAATTTTAACTCATCGATTTCCCAAAAGACGGCAGCAGCAAGTGTATATATGTGGAGAAGAAAAGAAAACCGCGGCCCGTGGAATTTCGGAGGGGGGATAAGGTTAGGGTTTATCGCGAACAATTTACTCTACAAGGGGCAAAAATTCGATTCGCCGGGGCTGCCTCAAATGCGATTAATCTGTACTGGTGGTACGCTACACCGGCCTTTTGACCACCAAAAGGCCGAGCAAATTTCTATCTTCAGAGAATAATACCAGCAAGCACCAATTAGTTGCGCCTCCAAATGTAGCAGGACAGGGAAATGTAGTAAAAGGACGTTCAGGAAATGCACTCAACTGGAAAGAAGGAATTCAGTTCCAGTGATCCAATCCTCACCCCTTCTATCTCGAGTATATTTTGTGAAATTGCGATTTGGGAATCATCCATCAAAGAGTTAGAAAGAAAGACGGAAGAACAAAGAGGACCTTTAGGCCGATCGCAACGGGCACGATCGCTCGATCACCGCGGCAGCACCACGGCCCAGGACAAGATACCGCGAGGATGGGTCAAACGAGAATAAGAACCCTAATGGTGGCTGTCTTGGGGACTCAAATCATTAGGACTTAGAGCGATGGAGAAGCCTCTTCTATGCATGCTTTCCAGTGAGTTAACTAGTGCTACAAAATACAAGAAGCAAAGAGACCAGCATATGCCTCTTGGTCACTTAATTAGCAGAAGGCTGCCTAGCTCTCTCGTTCATCGCTGTCATCAGTTGTCACTGTCACCGCTAATTACCGGCAGTAAAAAATGGGGTTTTGACAGCCATCGGTAGATTAGCCGCAAATGGTAAAACGAGCACAAGCAGAACTCATCTACATATTGACATGTGACATCAGACATCACTGAGCATTAACCAGGATTAATTCAACTCAAACTCTACTATGCTAGTGCATGTGGTACCTTTTTTGCATGTGACGATGGGATTCATGTGATCAGTTGCCTGATTAATTATGACATGAAAGTGGCCTATGCATCTTTGAACTTAATTACATGATGTCCACATCGCCGGTCTCCCTACATACTACTGCCCCTCTGCTGTCAGTTATAATCATCATCATCGGTTTTTTTAATGGCGCAAGGCATTCTCAAGCTCACATGAAGGCCACTGCAGTTTGAACGCTGCGTATATAGGGTAGGATAATTACCAAAAGGGATTACTAAGCTAGGAGAGCCCTATAACTAAGGGCGCACTAATTCCCCACCCCACAGTATTTTAGAGCAAGCAGCAGCATGCATCTCCCTCTGCCTCTTTGGAATTTGCTGCTTTCGCCAAGGCTACCTCTCTTTTCCCTTCTTCCCTAGAGCTGCGGAGTGTGGCTGCCGATTCTTTGTCGGCCGCTAACAGGCGTACTTTGCGCTGATAATCTTGTTAACTGGCTATGATTTCAAGTGTAATTAGTACTCTTTGTGGCACAAATTCTTATGCAATGTTGAGTTCATGGATATGTGACTGTTTTCTGAACGTGCCACCGTAGTATTAGGTAAAATGCCGCATTCCGAACCTGTTGATCTGAGCCCTTTTCAGCTAACGGCGCCGCGCGACAGTTGATGTTGGCTAATCTCCAGGTAGAGTAGCTACATGATGATGAGAGTGTGTTTGGGCAAGGCATATTTCGCAGTAGCACCCAAAGCAATCGACGGATGAATTTAGAATTAGAAGCACCAAACCACTTTCTCCAGTGGAGGAGGAGGAAGAACAAGGGAATCATGTGAGGTGTTGCATTCGCTAGCTATCTATATAAGCATATATTATGTGTCTTGGTTTTCTTAATTAATTGTGTAAGTTTCTTACACGAGAAGGCGAAGTGGAGGCCCATGAATCAAATGATGGCCTTGCCTTTTTGGACAAATCAATCATTACTAAAACACATGGGCTGAACATCTGAAAGTGCACCCTTGGATGCTATTGTTGACCCTAGTAAGAAATGAGTAGCCACGTAGGGGGTAGCCCGCCCTAAAACCCCTGCGCCAATTAGAAAGCTCTTACCTGGGGGTTAGAGCAAAACAAAAATGATGTGATCTTTGCGCACTCAGCAGGGGGGATCCTGAATGGGAAAGTATCATTAGTCTGTCCAAAGCTAGGACAGAATCAAGATTAAGACACTGAATGCGAGAATACGGTCAAAAGATTCCATAAAAATTCCTTTCTCAAGTGGGAAAGGGCATGGTAAAAAGTATGGAATCAGCTAAGCGCGAAATATGTTTACTGGTAATAACAACAGAATCAGCAAGGACATCATCGAGAATAAAGACAGTGAATGTGGGAATAAAGGAGTGTTTGTTAGTATAAGTGGTAATAATAATGGTCCTTGAAATTCCCACAAATGCCAGATTTAAACTATACTAGCTAGTGGTTGTTTGTCACTTGCGAAAAGTTAGTTATTACTAATGTAAATTCAGTGTACTAGCTTAAGCATCTCTGGATCGTGCATGACAGCAGCTTGAATGTGAAAAATCATATTTATTATGATGGTCAAACGACTTCTGCAATACTCTTTCCCAACAGTGAACACAGTCATGTTCGTAGTATATATGGAAGTATTTATAACAATTGTGGTTATTAATTAATATATGCATGTAATATTGAAGCTCATAGTATATAAAATCTTTTTTACTGTCAGTCGTCATTTTGAACCACTTGATTTAAATCCATTGATATGTCTCCCTTCTTCCTCTCACCACGACCGCCACTACCCTAATGACGGTGTCAGTGTTACATCCTAGGGGTCCCTCGTCATACCGGAAGCCGGCCCAAGTAGGCCGCCCTGTGGCCCCCTGGGTCGGTTATGCCCTAGGTCGACGTCCCGACCTATGGGCCCTATGAAGAGAAGGACTCGAAGGACTCTGAGTATGCGCCAAGTAAACCTTAGGCCCCGATATCCCATATAAGCCGGGGCAGGGCTAGTCGATAAACGCAAGAACATAGAGACTACGCTCAATCCCTTGATCACCATTGTACACCCATGTACATCATTCAATACAACATGAGCAAGAAATAGGGTTTTACCTCGATCTCGAGCGCCTGAACCTGGGTAAACCATGTCATGTTTCCCCTCTGATCTTCGTCTGGCCGGAGTACCCTATTGAGGGATTTGTCGAATATAACTCCGACACCTAACAACTCCAACAAAGTATTTCTTGCTTGGTTATGCCTTTAATAGATGTAGCAGTCCTCTGCTAGTGCTGTCTCCATTTACTGCTTTGCCAGGCCAAGCATCATATAACCCGAGGGACTTCTTCTCAACCCTAAACTCCATATTTCCTAACCAATACAAAGAGCCTCTCCTCCATCAAATCTAAATCACCACCCTTCACCTTGCGACCCTGACCACTTCAACAAAGTCTCCTCCCTCAGCTCTGTCTTCGCACTTGTGTTGCCAGTGACTCCTAGTCCTACTAGTAATCCTAAAAATTCCAATAAATACATAACGTTGAAAAACATGATGAGCAAATTCAATGGTCATCACATGGGCAAATTAAAAACAATGGATTTGGGGATTATGTAACATTGAGCTACTGAAAATAAATATAAAAATCATTTTACTAGAAATAGAAAATTATGTTTGGGGAAGGGGGTGAGGGATAGAAAAAAAATTAAGCAGAAAACTACTTTTTTCAGAACATAAAGCAAGAAACTATTGGTCAGGACTTTTTTTAGAATCGTTCCAGAGATTTTCTAAGTAGGCCGGACCCAACACAACCCACAAAAGAATATAGCCCAGCCCAAAAAAATTATCTGATACAAAAGGAGGAGGGCTTCTCGAGAGCAACTA